TAAATAGGAATAGAGTTAGGCTGCGTTGCCAGGTTTTTTTTTCTCTATAATATAGGCTTTTCCTACTAGAGTAGCAATAGTTGCGGTTTGCGTTCCTTTATTCTTAGCTACTCTGTAGAACCTTATTTTTAGCTGCTTTAGCCGTCCTGTTGCTTAAGCGCCTGCTTATTTTTTAGCTATTCTTATAGCTAATAGTTTATATATTTCGTTTTATAATATACTAGGCATAAGTTTTAGTAGTATATTCGCTAGTTTTTACTTTTCCTATATTCTATTAGGTACTAAGGGTCTAGAACTATAGTAGCTACCTTAATAAGTTTATCTTTTTTACCTATAATATAGTGCTCTGTTTCCTTAAATAGTACTAGTTGCGTAATAATATAATATTTTATTTAATATAGGTACTATCCTTAATATTTCTTATATATTACGTGCTTATTATATTTGTCTTTAATATATAATACCTAAAATATCTATTTATAAAGTAGGTGGTTTCTATCCAGCCGTTTATTTTCCTTATTATAGACACCTGTTTTACTAATAGGGTGTAATACCCTATAGATCTCGATTTTAGTTTATCTTCTATATAGCTCTAGCAGTTCCTACTCTAGTTTAATACTAAATTCTCTGTTACTAGACTACTTTTCTAGTTTATAATCTTTATTACTATTATAGTACTTCTTACTATTCTTAATAGGTAATTTATTATCTAGTTTTTACTAGATATTACGGCTTAGGCCTTTTAATATATCTAATCCTGCGCAGGTTTCTGCGCTAATAGTTGCTATTGTTAATATTCCTGCGGCTGCGGCTATTTTTACTTCCTTTTTTCTAGTAAGCTGTTCTATAACTTTTTCTATAGCTCTTAGGAATTGGTAACTAGCTAGTGCTTTTAGCTCTGCGCCTGCTATAGTATTTTTAGCCTTTTACGCTTTTTATTCTTTATTAAGGCGTACGAGAATTTCTTTTACGCTTTATTTATACGTAGCTATAACTCTATTAACTTATACTTCTATATCTAGTAACTTAGTTTCGCTATTAGTTTATAGCTCGGGTATATTAATTTAGGGTTCTAATCGCGGTTTAATTATCTGGAACGCCTTATTTATCTCTAATAGGTAGTCGATTTCTATACTTTTAACTTCTATATCTGCGTAGTAGTTATCTATAGGATTGCTATTATACTTTTCGTTCCTTATTATAGTAATAGTACGTCTTTTTACCCTTTATATTAGATAATACCCTATTACCTATTTATTTAACTAATAGGTAAAGTAGTTATTATTATAGCACGCGGTTTATAATATAGAATTATAGCGGTCTATATTCGGCTTTATTATAACTACTACTATTTAGGTGTTCCTAGAGCACTTATTTATAAAGTATTCCTATTTTCTATATAATAGGTATACGCTGCTGCGCTTTCTATTCTGCTTCTTTTTATTAGTAATTAGTCTACTCTTTTAGTTATTACGTTGTTTTGCGATATCGATTTCTATATAATCTCTATAGTTGCGATTAGTTACTCTTAGCTTTGGTCTAGCTAGTTAGGCGTAGGAATAAAGTCCTTTTTTATCTGCTTATTCTAGTCGTCGCTTATATTATTAACTGTCGATTTTTATTACTATTTCCTTAAGTTTATAAAGTATTAGAGGCCTCTCGCTTTATATAATTTTATCTTTAACGTTTTCTTTAAGACCTCTATAGTATTATACTTACAGAGCTTTATCTTCCTATAATAGCTTAGACGCGATTTATATAAATTCTAAAGTATAGCGGCTAGTTAAGCCCTTTTACTTTAGAACTGCTATTTTCTATTCTGCTATCTATTTTTTATTAGTGTCTCTAAAGGTTATTTAAAGTGCTAACTTAAAGTATTTATAATTGCTAAATATAATATTAGTTTCTAGTTTCTAATTATCCGCGTTAGCGTTGCCGAGCTAGTTTATAAGTATTAGGTTGAACTAGTTAAACGCTTCTTTTTTTAAGAAGGTGGCTGCTATATAAACCTTATCTAATTTAAATTCGAGGTTGCTCTAGTTTATACGCAGGTATAGCCTTATCTGCGTTATAAACGCTCGCAAAGTTCCTCTATTACTAGTAAACTCTTTAGGTTTATTTATTTTATAGCCTTTAGAGGACTAAATATTATACTATATTTAGTGCAACTGTAAAAAGAAAACTATATAAAAGGAGAGTACTAAGGCGTGGCGCTATATAGTAGAAAAAGTAATAAAAGACCTAAAAAGTATATAGAAGCTAGCTAATTAGGGCTATATAGCTAGTAAGAAATTAAAACCTTCGCCTTAATTTCCCCCTTTTTTAAAACCTAAGAACCCTACTCTATATATAAATAATAAAATAAAAGTATATATACTAGTAGAGCAGTTCTTTCCGCCTCCAGCTAATATAGACTTATTTAACCTAGAAGGGTTCTAATACCTGGAACTGTATAATACTACGCTAGATATTATAATTAAGAATATTTTCTTAGCGCTAATAGGAACTGCCCTAGATAAAGCCCTGGGTATTATAGAAATTACTAATAAGTTTCTTAAAAAGTGTAAAATGCAGCTAGCGCCTATACTAGCTTAGTTTTTTATAAGGTACCTATATAAAGGATACTATTCTTAGCCGTTTAAAGATTCTATTATAGTAGTGCTATATAAGCTCTAGAAAGCGTTCTATATAACGGCAAAAGCCTATAGGCCGATCGCCCTGCTAGAAATAATAGGTAAGCTATTTAAACGGATTAACGTAATCCACAAGTTAGTGGCCCGCACAAGCTAGTGGCCCACCCAACTCAACACGCGACGCGTCGTCCAACAACCACCCCAATGGCAGCACCACAACAACAAGAAGCCATCTTTCAAGAAGGCAGAGTTATTCTAGGCGTTCAAGCCTACAAGACCGGCCAAATTACATCCTTCCGAGGCGTTGAGAAACTATACGATGTGCCCAGAAAGACGGTTACGCGTCGCGCCCGTGGTATTCCTCCACAACGCGGTGCTATCTCCAAAAATCGCCGTCTTACACCTGTACAAGAAGAGGTTCTTGTACAGAGGATTCTGT